ACGTCTCCCTTCCCACCTACCATCCTTTTCAAGTGTTCCAACTCCCTACTTACTTTTTGGGAATTTTTTCTTTCCGAAATTTCCTTGTTCTTCTCAAAGGAATCCCGTCGGGCAGGGGTAAATAATGCACTAGAAAGAAAAACCGAGAAATGTCAACGATTGAAAACATTTTTTCTCGAAAGCTAATAATGGGAGCCTCCCTTCCTTCAGTGACTAAATATGACCCCTCACTTGATCAGATAAAGCCTATGATTTTGGAAATGAGTTAGCCCGCAAGCAGTTGTGTACTACCTGAACCTACTTGCATCAAGGCTGTGAACTATTCCCTTTGATTTATTCATGTGTAGACGGAACTATGGACTAAAAACCGCTCTGGAGCAAATCACCTATGCAGAAGAGGAGGGGCATTGGAAGGGCTCCTTGTGCACACCCAAAATTATGAGCGACGAGAAAATTTTGGGCGTAAAAGGAGAAGAAGATCATAAATAGGTGAGCCAATCCAAATACGGTAATTCTATCGGGAAAAGGCAATTCCATTTTTGCACAAGATCTCCCCTGAATGTACCCCCCCTATCAGCGCCCTTGCAATAAATAGCAAGGAGAGCTCTCGTGATTTGATCCTATATATAAGATAAAAATTAAAAAAAGCCAGATATCCAGATGATGTAGCTCCTCGAGTGGCTCTAACTATAGAAACGACAGACCTCTTGTGTTGTTGTTCAGCCATACGGCTGTTTTCGCTAACAATTGCACTGACAACTGACTTCAGCTGCATTTATGGGGCTCATGCAACTCATGCACTATCTGTCTGGCACTGCACGGATCTGAGGGACGAAATTAAAATACGAAAATGAAGTTGCATACTGGCAAATAGATGATTTACGCTTTAGGAACATTTGCAGGATGCTGCAGGATGCCTTCTTATTTTTGCCCTAGGGGTTTCAAATCCCACGAAATGAGCCCTCAAGTTATTTCAATCGTTTCATTTACGGCTGGCGCTTCTGAGAATAACGCCACGTTTCTAGATCATGTGTCAGGAGAACCGAGACTACCGTTATTAGATGAAGGGAAACTGCAAAACCGTACGCCTTCGAAGCAAATCCGCCCTATTCTGCCCTTCTATCCACTCAGAACACCTCATGAACCCCCTGAAGAGTCTAACAGCACTAAGTTTCATTTTCGCTAATGGTAGCTCATTTGAGTAGTCATTGGCAAGCAATCAGTAGAATGAGCTCCACGGGTAGCGCGTCATCGTCGTGGGACACGACGTCTCACGAACGAAATGGCGGAAAACAAATTTCGCAAATGGAAGCTACGGTAATTAACACTTTGACGGCCCGCATTATCCTGATGAGGGTTGTCCACTTCTTCCAAATTGAAAACTATTACGAAGCTAGACATCCACTGCTGGAGAGGTTTTTAAAGAAACGAGAGAAAAACGTCCCTATGAGTAGAAAAGCAAGTGAAAAATGAGCATGGTTTGTACTTCGACAATGGAGGATTAATGTGCTGGAGAGGGAAAGAAGCTTGTTGAAAACGTCCCATGAAAAGTTGGTGACGTGAGTAAGAAAGAACGGCTCGGATCAATAACGTCTACGAAAGGACAGTGTGGGCTGGATGAAAAACGAAAGAGGAAGAGAATGAAAAACGGAAAGAATGAGACTCACCGTCCGCTCTTCGTGATAATCATTTCAGTGCCAAGCTCGTAGAACTTCTCCCACAACTCGGCTCCTTCAAGGCGACATTCGATGCCGTCAAGCTGATCACCTTTTGCAGATGTGGTCGACATGGAAGAGCAGGTAGTAGTAGCTGTTGGTCGAGCAGCTTTCGCGTCAGAATTAGGAAAATCAGGCGAGGGGCATGGAGTACAGTCAGTGGATCCAGATGGACTGTGATGGCCTTCAAGTAAAGTGTCGATGGAGAATCGGGCACGTTTGGCAGTGGAACATGAGGTTGAGCCCGAACAGCTTGGTTCCTCCAACTCTCGCTTCGTCGTTGTCGGCTGCTCCAGCTCGCGCTTCGCCATTGTTACTGATCTTGTTGGTGCGATTGGAGAAGCCGCTAAAATGAGGCGGGGCTAACCAATGGCAGCCGACGTCGCGCCCACTTTCAACACCAGCAAAAACCCAGAGCAGGTGAGAACGGGGGATACGGTAGCTCGCTACCGATCACGGTATGGGAAAATTTGGGATCGAGGCGATAAGTAGATCGAATATGTTCAGCTGCCCAGGGCAATTACCTTTTTTTACCGACACCTAGTAAATTTCTATTCTTCGGGGGGGGGGCTTGAATTTAGGATGACGATATGACACGTAGTTTATCGAAAGGTAAGATAGAGGTGTTATCGCTTTGGCGTTTGGCAATAAGTGCTACTTTATGGCCAATCGAATCATAACCCAAGTGAGAAATGTCGCACCAGCGGCCCGTCGTCTCGAGCCACCCCCTAATCCCTCGAGTAATCGCAGATAATCCGTTGCAAGACGACCGCTTTACCGCAATCGCGTCAAAACACTCGCCAACTTCCCAGCCAATTCTTCACTCACATTCCAGTGAGGACGACGAGCATATGGTAATGACAAGGTGACCGTGTCTGCGCCTCACAGGAGGTGGCCGTGAAACGACCATAAAAGGAGGTGAAGACGCAGCAGGTCGTATACCAGCCGACTACCACTAAACCATGAATCAGCACCACTGATGGGCAACGACCGGGACAGTGATCTTCAGACGGGGACCGCCGTCGCATTCTCTTGCATTCATGGCGGTCTGGCTGGGCGACAACCGACCCGACCTTAGGCCATAAGGCCTTCCGACATTCTGCTAGCATGTTTCACTGCACCACTCAGATGTGTATCTGATGGCGGAATTAGCATGTCAGAAATGGATTTCGGCTGTGCGCGCAATGGCCGACGAGAGCGGCGGCGCAGGCGAAATGGCCGTGATGGCGGTGCGATAACGTCTCGCGGTTAGTGGGCGACAGCATGATGGAATACTTCCACTATTCACACTTGATCGCCACGAGATATGCCTGCCATGGCAAAAGGGTGCGAAAAGTGGGGGAAAAGTGGGCCCTTCACCCACAGATGTGGTGTTCGCGGAACAAGTTCATCGACATTGCACACTCCACCGCATTCTTCAGTCCGCTCGACGAGGTTTTCTGTGAATGATGGCACCTAATCGCCGCGCATGATGTGATTTACGTACAATACGGATTCGCACGATGACGATGACGACGATGGCGCAGATGATGATCCGCTTGGTGGGACGGGTACGATACGGTAGTCGTGATTGTGCGCTGCAATGTGCGCTCGCTGCGCGCCCTGTTTTTGCCATATAGAAGACGCCCGGCGGTGAGTTTACGAGCAGACGCACTCAAGAACACCGCGACGAAATGGACGATTCTCATAATTGGATGACACCCGACAGAGGTCGTTACGCCGTAAAATATCATTTTATCACCTGATTCCAATTTCGCGCCGTGAACACCATCCCCAGTCGTATGGCTCCTCTGCGCACCCTGTACTGGTCGTGACTCTTATCTCGATTACGGTCGCCAATCATTTGGTCATCGAAACGGACGAACGAAATAGGATTATCATCCTGACACTGGGAAACACACGATATTGGAGGAGGGAAGTACACGCGTAAGAGAAATAGGGGCAGCACAGGGCGCAGTTTGACGACGGGGGGGCACTTTGTACTATCATTGCTTCCCTAGTTCCGGTTTACAAGTCTCACTCTGGCGAAACCTGTGAACTCTTGTGAAGCTGGAGCAAGCTCATCTAGCCATCATGGTAAAACCTGTCAACTCGAGAAGAGGCTGCCTAGATAGGTCGACACGTCGATGGGAAGTAGCGAAAATGAAACCCTCCCCCCCGTCGTCAAACTGCGGACATAACCGAGACAGCGTTCTTATTCAGCTGTCGCCAATTATTAATCCGGGTTTGGGGTTTTCTCATAGAAAAATTATCATGTATACAAAAAGGGCTCAATTCGCCAACGAGGGGGCATTTTGCACTTTCACTGCTTCACTAGTTCCGGTTTACAAGTCTCACTCTGGTGAAACCTGTGAACTCATGTGAAGCTGGAGCAAGCTCGTCGAGCCACCATGGTAGACCCTGCCAACTCTTTTAAAGTCCTGAAGAACCCCTCTACCCTCTACATAGCTCGACATGTCGATGGAAAGTGGCAAAAGTGCAAAAATGCCCCCCCCCCGTCGCCGAACTACCCCGAAGAAAGTCCAGCGAACCAGAATTCCACCCTAAAACCAAAGTCTTGAGATTGTAGCTCACCAAAAAATGTGAGATACGAGCGAGATGATACTTTTGAAGACCCCTTCGCAACTCATGAAAAACAGGAAGAGATTCCAAATATCTAGCAGCAGGTTAAATAGAGGCTTCAGATAATGGAAAGGCGAAAAAGATGAGGATATGCCATTACTACTGCACTGCTCTATTTGCCCCAATATTCCAGCCAAAGTCCAAAATATTTGACGGTCACTCCGGGGCGTACTCAACTTGTTATGGCGCTCAGCAACTGGGAGAAGAATCGCTGAGCTCCATGTGGTTGGCTTTCGTTCATGTCCCAAAGATGTCAGCAACCGTTTTTCGATGCGGGAGGGGAAACATCTGTGAGGGATGTGCCAGCTGAAAGAAGATAGGCTTACTGATAAAGGCAGGGTCCAAAAGGTTTGAAAAAGGCCTATCTTGCGGGCAAGGTTTCATGCTCTTAGTTTGTATGCATGCAGAAAGCACTGGAAAGGTGAAGACAACGAAGGAATTGAAGCAACAAAATGGGGAAAGAGAGAAAAGAGAAATAAAATATCGAGTTCGTGAAGATGTACATTACCCACATACAAGGAGAGCAAAGGGGTTTAGGTGGTAAAATCTGGAGAAAATGCAGTAGGAGTAAAGTGGTTTCGGAGAGCTTCTACTACTATACAGTCAGTTCTTTAAAAATTTATCTTTTTTCCCTACGCCGACTCCAGCTAAAAAAACACCTTTTTCCTCACAAACCCTTGATTTGGCCTTGACTTCTCTGTTAGACTAGTTTTTTATGAATACCTTGGAGCGTACTTACTACCCAGAAAACATGAAGTAAGTTAGTCAAAAAGGGGTGGGAGGACACTTGAAGGATTTGTTGCACAAAACTGGGTTGCTGTAGTACGAAATTAGGTTTTTGGTCACATAGAACGGAGCGGATGCAAAACCTTCCAGAACTCAAAGAAAAAACCGCATCCTCTTAGGGATCTCGCAGTCTTAGTTTGGGGCATAGAGTCTTTAAATGGCCCTACCCCCTCCTCTCGTTGACGTCATCTGATGCCACATTGTTGGAGCACTTTACCCTCTTTTTCCTCCGTTAGGATAGACTTTGGCTACTTTGCCTTAGAGCCATTAGAGCCCACTATTTCTCTCTCTATAGCCGTGATTGTTAAGTGCCACCACCATTATCTTATTGGAGCTTATTATGGCAAGAAGGCTTTAACGTCCCTTCACCAATGGTCAAATCAGGGCCCGGCGCATTCAGCTTGGCGGGGGGGGGGCACTGCACTTTCGCGGCTTTCCACATGTCGCATTGATTGCTTTTACGCCATCCCCCGTCGCCGAACTTTTGCTACTTCCCATCGACGTGTCGACGACTCGAGCTCACAGGTTTTAACATGATGGCCTGACGACCTTGCTCCAGCTTCACAA